AAAAAAGGTGTAAACAAATATTATAATATTATTTGCTTATGTTTGTTTATTACATTTGATTTTAAGAGAACTGTTTAAAAAATTGTAGCCCTGTTGCTGTGTGTTTCTCTGGATGCCCTCGTACTTTGGTCCGTTTCCGGCGAGTCCGCTCTGAACTAATCCTGCGCCACATGTTGCGTTTCAGTATCCGCAGGAGTACCAGTAAAGAACTGTCGGAGATCAGGCTTGACTCCTCTCTGTCCTGGCTATGTTTTGGAAAGTCTAAAATCATCGGTGTCGTCAGTAACATTAATTAACTCCAAGAAAAATTAATTAACAAGTGTAAAAATAACAACGTTTATTTATGGTGCTATGATTGATTAAACTCATGAATACATAAAAAAAAGGGATTTAAAGAAAGTATAGTGGCATGGGACTTAGGGGTTAAAGCGAACAGTTGATTAAAAGAAGATTAATGAAGGATGATAATGACGAGGAAACAGACGGGTAATTTTAACAAAGCAAGATATGCAATTTATTCACGATTTTATACACTTGAAGTAGTATCAGTAGCTAGTTCCAGGGAAATAAATCAGAATCCGTAAAGTCCGTAGTTTTAACGTATTGTCCCGAAGAGGAAATGTTCATACAACAGATTAAATGATATGACACAAAATAATATTAAAAATGCTTAAGACAAAGGTAAGAGAGCTCATTGCATACCGAAGGGATATATGATTTGCATACGTTCAAAAGTATACGAAGAGTGATGGTTTGAAATACTTAGCTTTCTTGGATTATTAAGAGAAAATTCTTTAAAGCGTCGCGTGCTGGTTAGAAGCCGATAAATAATTAGCGAGTAATTTTACACTGGCGAGAACGTTAACGCCGGTCGCGAGGAACTGAAAAGAAACCTCTCACATGACTTCAGACATTCTTCTTAATTTAATTTTCTCCTCATTTTATATCGGAAATAATTTCGCGTAGACTTGTTACTTTCTTTTCTTCTGCTCGGTTAATTTCTGTGAAGGCAAGGTTTTCATTTGTCCAAAAGACAATTTCACATATACGCGCGAATTCCTTTCCTTCTTTTTCTCATCTCACAGGTGAATTTCTGTAAAGGCAACGTTTTCTTTGGTCGTAAGAAAATTTCACAGGCTTTCCTTCTTCTTCCCCAGTGCTCCGAATCTGAAGGGAATGAGTGAAAGTAGTCATTATTATTTCGCACTCACCACAAACGTTTCCCGTATAGGGGATTCTTCAGCTGGGGAAGAGGTGTACTTGCGGTTGCAGTAATGGTTAAACAGTCTCTAGAGTCGTTCAACTATCTAAATGAAGGCAGCTGATCGAGGGAGTTCAAAAAGGGACATAGAAAACAGGACTTTAGCTGACTGAGGCATCACGGTCAACCTGTAGGGAAGGTGTTGGTCTTCTAACGGCGGAACTAATTCGATCTTACATCTGCCCTTTACGTGTCAATTTCAACTAACCCCTTTATCAAGAATAATTGTCATTATCAAAAAAAAATATTCTATTTTCTAAGATCGAATCGGACCTGGTCCTTATCTTACAAAGGGGCCCGCCTGAATATTGGGCCCCCCCTATATTTGATATAAAAATTGTAGAATGTTTTTTATCTCATTTGGCCGTGCGGACTGCCGGACACAAGTACAAGGGGGGCCAGATCCGTGACCGTGCGGAAAAATGAAAATTTGGAAAAGAGAAAAAAGTATCTTCGTTAGCAATCAAACTAAATTTGTGAAGAAAGAAAGAAAAACAAAGAAAGAAAAAGAAAACGAAGAAACCTTACGAATGAACGCAGTAAAAAAATGTCTGTTTTTTGGGACTGGTAAGTTCAAACCTGGTTCCCAGCTAGACTGCAAGGCATAGCTTTATCGGATCCTTTTGATTTGCCGCACCCGCACCCCTTGCCTGGCCGAAAACACGCAATAAATTATTTTAATATTGTAAAAATATTCTGGTGACCATAAATCTGGCGCCTGTAGTCTGTGGTACCGGTCAAGTCTTAGCGAACTCTCTCCCCATCCCCGTCACTCCCCAAAAAACACTAAAATTTTCATATGATATTTAGAATTTCCAAAGAAAGGACACCTTATAAATTCCTGTCTGTTGCCATTGCCAAGCATTTCAGTAAGTTAAAATATTGACTAATTATTTTGTTTACATCTGTAATTATGCTAATTTGTTACAAATATTGAGTAAATTTAAATTCGCATTATGTAATTTCTTAAGTCAATTTTTTTAAAATGTCAATAAGAGGGTTTAATGCGAATTCAAGCAAAATATTAAAAAAAATTTTTAATCAATATTTTTTTAAATTGACGAAGGGGTTTAATACTAACAGTCAATTTATGCCAGTGAGTGCATTAGATCTTACCACATTCTTCTAAATCATTGAGTTGATAAGATATTTATACGTATGTGCACTCAGTGTGACTGTGCAATGTGCAATTGCAGTCGTGTCTCTTATCTTGTTTGCTCTTCAGACATTATTTTATAAGTATAGTCGCTGTGTTTTGGAAGTCTGTTTTTTAACTCCTTAGAAAAAAAATTAAAGAGAAAATTATTACTTAACTTATAGAGAACAAACTTCCAAATAAATAAATAGAACTATATTTGTAAATACGTACTCGAAATAATAAATCAAAAAAGTAAATTTACGAAAAACTCAACTTTCGAATTTAGCCGATAATTGTTATTTATTGATTCGTGAAAAGAAGGCAAGTAAATTAAATTAAAAAAAAAAAAAAAAACCAAATGCGATAAAATGCCATCCTTTTGTTAGTTAATAACCATTAATGAACAAAAATGTAATGTGTAATTAAAAAATTACCTTTGTATGATCTTAATTAGTAAAATAATTCAAATATTTGAAATGTGCCTAGTTTAACTAACAACAATTTCACAATGAAGGAGCGTCCAAAAAATCTATCCCCCCTATCAATATGCAAATATACATCGAATATAAAACTAACCCGCGTTCATATTTTAGATAAATGTAGAGAAGTGACGGTAAGTGATCACGTTAATAAAAGTTCGATTTTTTTACTTACCGATAGATGTTATTCTAAGTAAAAGATACTTTTTTTTTAATAAAGAAACAGAAATTATTCATATATTTCGCAAATTTCAGGGATTTTTGACATTCCTAATTTTGCAATCTTATTCATGGATTTCAGGGTGAATGAACAGAGTTGAATTCTATGTTTACATTAATGGAAACTTTTAGTTTTTCGTTTAGGTTCTGAAATATTGAAATTACGTATTATTTTATTTTCATTTTATAATTTTAAAACCTGATATTCTACATAAATACTTGCTATCGATTGTATTTTCTTTTGTTACAGTGTATTTACTTGCTCTTTATAAAATTGTCCCCAAACAGATTTTACCGAGAAGAAACTATTTGTCTAGTGTGCAGGTAGCTAAAAACCCTATTTAATGATGTCTGACTACAAGCATAAAATGGTGCTCAAAAGAGAAAAAGAAAAAAAAATATCCATGATAAAGAAGACAACAAATAAAATTGATACATTTTTTGCTAAGAAAGCTACATCCTCTGAACAAGACAAAGTTACAACTGACTTTGGCTTACAAGATAAAAACATCAACATGTGCAGAAGCACCATCTGAATTTGAAATCACACCATGATGAACCCGAATTCGATGAGAAACCAAACCATCTAAAATTTTTTAAGGCCTGATTCCATGACAACCAGTACGCAGGTTACACATGCAAAAAGTGCGTATTTTTTAAAACCGGATACCAGCCATAATGCGTCAATTTCACAGGAGATGTTCTGGAAATTTCATCCAAACCAGCCTGTATGTAATATACCATTTAATAGTGCTGTTGTATATGACAGACAAGGCATTCAGGGCATGAATATTAACAGAAAGTGGGTAACATACAATGAAGAAAATAAGAGTTTACATTGCTCATTTTGTCTGATGTATGCTCCCGAAAAAAAGTCGAAATATACAGATGATCCAGGGCTGTTCTGATTGGAGACACATCGCAACGAGACTGTTTGAACATGAAAAGAGCCAGTGTCATAAGCATTCTACTGATGCATATTTTCTGAATGCTTGTGAAAGATCCGCCAAGCACAATTTGTTAAAGGAACAACTCTCCTTAAGAACCCAACAAGTTCTTCAGCATCGCTCTGTTTTAAAGTGTATAATTGATGCAATATTTTACATTGGTTTTCAAGTTTTGTCTTACCATGGCAAATATGGAGAAGCTGTTGCAACTGTATTTGATGAAAATAATCAGGACAATGCTGGGAATTTTTTAGAGGCTATAAAGCTTCTTGCAGAGTACAATCCACACCTGCAGGAACATTTGCAGAAGGTGGTTTTGCAAGGCAAACAAAAAGATCCATCTAAGAAAGGGCGTGGCAAATTTGTTACTTTTTTTTAAGTAAAACAACTGTCAATAAGATAATAAATATTATTTCAGACATGGTTAAAAAAACGAAATTGTGAAGGAGGTGAAAAAATGCAGGGATGTTTTCAGTGCAAATTGACTCTACCCAAGACATTTCTGCCCATGATCAGTGTGCCATTGTCCTTAGATATGTAGTTGGAGACAGAGTTAAAGAAAGACTTGTTCGCCTGGTAAATGTGAATAATTCAAGTGGAAAATGCTTGCACAGCCTGTTATGAAATTCACTTGCAGAGATAGGTCTGACACCGAGGCAGTGTATTGGAGATTCGTTTGATGGAGCAGCAAATATGAGTGGTGTTTACTCTGGTCTTCAGGCACTTATGAAAGCAGCTCGCCCAAGTCACATCCATACTTGGTGTTATGCACATGTTCTGAATCTGATGATCAGTGATGCAAGCAGTGGATGTGTTGCATCAGTTAGTCTTTTGGTTTGCTAAATGAACTATGCTCATTTTTCAATGATTCCTACAAAAGGATGAAGGTGTGGGAAGAGCATATGCAGATCAAAACAGGAAATAAGAAACGCCTAAGACTAGAGCGTATTGGTCAAATGAGATGGTCAAGTAGAAGCAGAGCACTTCGAAAATTGTTTGGCAATTACGCAGATCAGTCATCAGAATTCTTTTCGGACCTTCTGATCATCCTTCAGGAAGTAAGCGAAGCAACTGATTTCAAAGGATCAGTTCGCTATGAAGCACAGAAATTGAGTGAAAACTTGCGCAAATTTGAAACCATCTTAATGGCGTTTACATTCATATGAATTTTTGAAATTACAACACCTGTGTCAGATTATCTGCAGACACCAGGCCTGGATATCATGTAGGCTTGGCGCATGATTAACAAAGCCACTGAAAATATTGAAAAAATCTCAAGAGATTTTAAGGGCATTTATGAAACTGCGTCTGATTTTTGTTGTTCGTGCAAATTATAAATTAGAAGAAGTGAAGATTTTTGTCCCTAATAGCTTCTCAATTTCAACCATGAGATCTAGTCGCTCAGCACCAGAAGGTATCACAGACGAGAAGAAAATTTTTGAGGTTTTATACCATAATGCGGTTATTGATGCTGTGCTCTCCAGCATGCAAGCTAGATTCTCGTCTCATGAAAAGCTCTATAAGCAAATTTCCTGCTTTGATCCAAACAGGTTTTCTGAAATTTTGGCATCCCCACAAAACATTGAGCTAGGTTTGATTGCTAATGCAATACCAGAAATTGACATAGTGGCACTACAGGATGAACTGATTTCATTTGCATCAAGCTACAAAGACTTGAAAAAGGGCTGCTAGAAAATATAAATGACAATGAAAATGATTCAGACAGCTTGGATTCAGAGGAGGAGGATACAAATGTTACTCAATCATCTGCCAAGACAACATGTAAGAATTGTTTGTCATGTGCTTTCAAGCTATTATCTGAGTACAGGCTGTGTGCAGCTGCATATGAAAATTTATATGCTGCATATAAATTTATTGTAACTCTAAGCATCACACAGTGCACATGTGAAAGATGTTTTTCTAAACTAAGACTGTTGAAAACAAGGCTGAGATCTTCGCTCACACAAAATAACTTGGAGTCACTTATGCTAATTGCTATTGAAAAAGACATAGCAATGAAAATCAAATCAAACAAAGACAAAATTATTGATAAAATTGCAGAATCCTCTACTGAAATGAGTACAATGTTGTTACTGTAGTAATCCTTGAAAGTTGATATTTGAAATTTTTGGCTCAGTATTATTGTAAAGCATAGTATATCTTATATTAAGACGTATTAAAATGTAAGTAATATTTTTAAAGGTGGATGTTAACACATTTTATTATTTGTTTTTAATATCTATTATAAATTTTTAATTTAGTACATTGTTTACGTGTTGATTCATAGTAATAAATGGAAATTTTTGTTTGACATGTCATTACGCGGCTTTGTTGTTACTATCATTATGTGTCCATGAACATCTTTATGACCTTCAAGTTTTCAAATCTTTTGATGCATATAAACACATATATATCTTAAATAGTGATGGGACGTTTAATCGGAATCGTTAATCGTAAGAATCGTGTATTTTTTATTTTCTGCCTGAGAGCCTATAACATTCAGTCCAACCCCTGTTTTGAAGGGGGAATTCGGAATCGTTAAATAAATAGTTTTAGATTTCCTAGCAATTCTTTCATTAGGTTTCTCTTGAAACTTTTTATCTTACATAAAGATCTGATGATGAAAAAAAACTTTTTTTTCCATATTTCTAACCGGTAAGAGAGAAATGTACCATTTCATAAAAATAACAAGTTATTCCAAAATGAAACCAAAGAAATACGTGATTAAAATGTATTTGATTTGCTCTTTTTTTTTAAACTTTTTTTCATTTTTTAAGGTCAGGAAAACTTATTACTCTATAAATCCCACTTACACTTAACTTTAAAAAAATCAGAAAAACAGACACAGTATATTTGGAAGGAGGGGGGACTAACTTTTCAGACTTTGATCTCCTTCCTACAAACAGTTTCTTAACTATCTTTTTTTTTTAATAAATCTAGATAATGAATATTTTTCAGGATTTTTTTTTTTATGAATGCAGACATTGAATTTTAAAATTCTTCTTTAGGTGTTAAAAAGGAAAATAATTAGAAATATTTACGAAGAATAAAATTAAAAGAAATAACAAGGTCCTGCTTTTTAAAATATTTACAAAAATACTTAAAAGACAGTTTTTTAAAGCATTATTATTAAAAAAACCCTACCTCAAGTGACCCTGGGCCTTAAAGGATGAAAAAAAAAAAAAGAAAAAGATTAATTTAACATTAAAAACGATTGCATAAACCAACTGAAAAAAAAAATTCCTGTATTTAAACAGGGTTCCGTCATCTAGAAAACATGGAAATGGATTCCTGTAAAGGATTCCCGTGATCGATTCCCGTGATCCTCTGAAAATTGGGGTTCCTTCAAGACCACAGATACAGGTCAAAAGAACCTGATAATTCTTCTTAGCTCAAATTGGGACTTGACTAGAATCGGAATCGATCATTTGGTATCGGAATCGTGTTTGAATTTTC